TATTTTGCTTGCCATCAAATCTTTGTCACAAAACAAGCAACTTTGTTTGCAGATTATCAGTTAACAATGCTCAGACATGAATTACCCACTGAAAACTGTTGCTTGTCACCAACTTGGTTACGAAACAGCAATAAAATGTAACCTTAATATACTAGATACATGGACTAAAGAAGAAATGGCAGGGTTAGAGTGATTTTGTGGGTTTATGACATGTCAGAAACATCTTGTCATTTAGACAGCCGGAGGGATGTAGCCTTTCAGTGGGCACTGTGTTCTGTAGCTTTGTGACAGACTTGAAAAAGCTGTGAGCAGAAATGAGAATTCTGCTAGTGGTACTTCTCTGTGCCAAGGTCAAGAATGGTGGAGACATACCACAACTCCCCTGATATCTTCATGGCATTGTGCTTAATTAATTAAGCTGAGGGACAACTTTACCTTTACACTATTTGTCTGCAGAATCTCAGTGAAACTGGATTGCAGGTAAAGGAGTGAAACCAGTTAATTAAGCAACATATGCTGGTATGGTGACATTGGTAACCAAATGACACTGCAGCAGTGCAGCAGCTAACACAATCCCGTCGGTTATGGTGTTCCCTCATGTCCGCTTCAAGCAGTTAATGATCACAATTGCTTCCCCTGGAACATTAGGTGTGACAGTGCATTCTGGATGGAAAATGAATGGAGACTTTGTAGATGTAATGAAACATTTCACAAATCACAGTAACTCTTCACAGGAGTTACAGTGTTGACATTCCCTCTGCAGTGTTCGCATGAACTTAACCATTGGATATTGCTGTGTACTTTGCGTTCAAAGCCTTCTATGACGCGTCGCTTTGTTCCCAGCTGAATCAGCATCCTGGAGTTCCTCTGTCAGTCTGTGATATTCCTGGAAATGTCAGTATTCTTCTCCAATGAATAATGATTTCATCCAGTATTTTGGCAAGTTTTCAAGAAGCAGGAATATTTCCATTTAGCTGCTGTATATTTGTGGTCTCTGATTTTTGGCTCTGAATTGTCTCTGATAGACTGGATCCAGCAGCTGCCACAAGTGAGTCATGGCTGCAGATGAAATTCCTCCAAACATTCCTGAGATCAATGACACTGCTAGTGAACCATCAACATCATTTTCTCTGAGACATCAACCGTAGAAGTGCTGACTTACACTTGAGAATATTGGGAAGGCCACTTCAGTCAAGTTTATAAGCACTTAAAGGACTTCCAGGAGGAATAAGAGGAAAAACAGAGCAAAAGGAGAGACAATAATTTGCAACTGATAACACCTGAAAAAGACAAAATTGAAAAGTGAGAAGCAGGAAGATCAGAGAAGAAGGAAACATATGGCTTACATTGTCAGAAGCTTTTCATCAAAAAGGGGGGAAAAAAGTACACTAAACTCTCACTAATTCGGATTAAGCAATAACCAAAATTAATGAAGCAGAAGATAGAAAGAAAACTTAGAAAACAAATAAAGAAAATGTAATAATATAGGAAGTGCTGATGGAAAAAAAAAAGAAATGTTACTGTAAAGCCTTTATTTAAAAACTAGAAAAAGACAAGAAGCCCTAAAAGATAGAAAGAAAACTTAGAAAAAAAATAATATAGGTAGTGCTGATGAAAATAAATAAATATTACTGTAAAGCCATTATTTAAAAACTAGAAAAAGACAAGAAGCTGGAATCCATTGTCTCCTTTATGCAGCCAATCTTGGATATTTTCTTGCATGATTGCAGTCTCTCCTGCTGCCCTCAACTCCATCTGAAAGTCCTCTTGCTCCTAAATCCCATGTGCTCTTTAAAGTATATATTAAACTGTAAACAGAATTGTTCATATTTTGAGCCAGATTAACTGTAACGAGATTAGTGAGAGTTTACTGTAGTTTATTATTTGAAAAAATTAAAGGAACTGTTTCCAAAACAGACTTTGAATCAGTTTTCTTTGCAATGTGAAGAATACAAACAAGTTTGTCCATCTTGATGATGATGAAACCGTGGTAGAGTTGTCTGATATTGTAATGACCTTACCGAAACCAATTGTGGTACATTCCTCTGAACAACAGAAATATTTCTACACCTTTTCTGTCAGTTTTGAGGATATGAATGTAAGCTGAATGTATTTTTGAGTCTTATTTATTATTTTAATTCTGTATTTGAAAATAAATGCCTTATTCTAGTTTACTTAATTTATTCACATTGTTTTGTAATTATTCTTATACAGGATGGGGCGCAGAAACTTCCTTTTTTTTGAAGGTGAATAAAAGAAAAATTATTGCTGATAGACAAAATTTATGTTTAGCTAATGAAAGAACATACTTTAATGTTTTAAATCATGTAGTTTTAAACAAACTATCTTGAAGGTGGTGGCCACCATTCTCTATGCACTGATGCAACCGTTTTCTGAAGTTCCCCTCTGCACGTTCCAACATGTGCACTGGAATTTGGGCTACTTCCTGCCGAATAACATTCTTCAGCTGAAGCAGGTTTGTGGGGCGATGTTTAAAAACCTCTGCCTTGAGGCATCCCCATAAAAGAAAAATCACAGGGCGTTAGATCAGGTGAGTGCGCTGCCCATGGGATGTCACCTCGAAGCGAGATGAGCCATCCGGGGAACTTTGCCCTCAAAACTCATCGAAGCTCAGGCTGTGTGGGCCGTGGCACCATCCTGTTGGAACCAGACATTTCCTAGATGAATTTCTTCAAGAGCTGGTTCAAAAAAGTTTTTAATAATGTCCACATACCGCTGTGAATTGACAGTAATTGAATGATTGTCTTCTTCAAAAAAATATGGGCCAATAACTCCAACAATGCACACCATACTGTCACCTTATCACTGTGAAGTGGCCTCTCATGGAGCCCTCTGGGATTGTTACCACTCCAGTAGCGCATATTCTGCTTGTTGACATATCCGGATAGGTGAAAATGTGCCTCATCACTAAAGAAAACAAGTGCGTCAGGGGGTAAAGTTTCCAATAACGTTTCGCACGTCGTTATTTGGTTCTGGAAATCATGTGGTGACAATTCTTGCACAACAGCCATCTTATAGGGATGGATATGAAGATGTTCGTGAAGAATTCGCCACATTGAACGATGGGATATGTCTAGGGTAACTGCATGTTTGCGAGTGGAGCGTCTTGGAGATCTCAAAATTGACTGTCGAACTGCCTCCACATTTTCTGCCGTCATAACAGTCCATTGTCGTCCTGATGATTTTTTCACCACAGTCCCGGTTGTCCTAAAGTTCTCTACCCACAGAACAGTCGATTTCCGATCGGGAACCAGACCTCTGGGCTTAATTCTGAAGTGAGTACGGAATGCACGCTGCTCACTCGTCCACCTCATGTTTCCTACTGAGGGGTATTAGAAATTTCCGCGACTGCTGCGTTCGCCGAGCCTATCCCCACTTTTCTGCACCTCCCCTGCCTTCACAATGCGTCTTCACAAAAAGGAAGTTTCTGCGCCCCACCCTGCATTATGTCTCAGCTGTAGCCCATAGTATGTCTCATAGTGCCCCAGTATCAGGCAGACTGAAACAATTTTCCATGCCTTTTAATTTCTTATTTTCCATCTTTTTTTCGCTCACTTGAATGTTTAGTATGCTTAAAATGTACTTTAATATTGTATGAAGTTCCTCTCTTAATTGGTTTTTACAGTTATTTTAATTTGAAAATGCTATAAATTAAAGAAAAATGGGCATATCACTATGGACCCATCTCCCATAGTAAATCAGCTTCAATTGATCTTATGTTCTGTGTTCAGAAGATAGTAGAGAGAAAATGGAAGCATGATGGTACAGCTAACTGTTGATGTATAGACTTAAACAAGATTGCAGAAATATGCAATGTACACCTAATAGGTGCATTTGGCAGAAGAAATTAGAAGTGGCATGCGAACACCCACATCAAAGTGTTTATTATGATAAGCTTAAATATTTGAAATATCTATTCAGATAAACTCAAAATGTATGTATGTACTTACATAAAATTATATTGTGACATGACGCCCGAATGCCGGAAGTGTGTAGTCAGAAAAGTACAGCAGAGACATCTGTTGCTACACAATGGCTAGTTGAAACATATTTTGCGGCAATGAATACGCTTGCATAAATCAACATGTTGCCTAGAGATAGACACACATTTTGTGGCAACAGAGAACAATAGAAGCATGAACTGTCCGACTGAGAGATCTATATTCGGTCCACATGAAGTTAGTTCAGTCCGAGAATGAGACATCCAGAGGCACAATTCGAGAGAGTTGCGTAGGATTGAGGGCTGAGGAGGGAGGATTCTGTAGTTGAAGTGCTACCAAGTAACGACTAGTAAGCAGATGTTAAAGAATTCATTTTGTGTGATATAATTATAGTAATCGTCAGTGTGTCGTAATTACTTGTACTTAGGACTAGTGAGTATCCAGTAAATCTAGTCACCAATCCAAACGCCGTCTACAAGTCACTAATACATGTGACAATATTTCTTTTAATTAGATGTAGATTTATAATTCAGGTGGGAGCATGCTGTGTTTAATTGTTATCAAAATAATAGGCTTTGTCAATCTTCTGGTGTGATCAGACAACCCACCTTCTCTCTTTAATGATCTTTGAAACGTTTGTCACTACTAAATACTTAATACGTTATACTCATGTAGGATTTCGTGTATGCTGTTCATTATTTTTGCTCAGTTTTAACCATAATTTGAATGTGTTGACAAATTTTAAACTTTCCAGTATCAGATTTCATTAAAATCATTTCTGTATTTGTCCACTTGTTTTATGTATACAGCTGGACAGACAAAACAGTCTTAATAGGCCCGGTGCAAAGTTGTGAACACACCTGAAAGGGACCTATTAGTCAGGATTACAACATTCCAATTAAATCTGGAATATCTGCAAACTTAGTGAAGTTAATTGTAATATATTTCAATGAATGCAAATTAATATTTGCTGCATTTCAAAGTCACAATTTGCTGTGTCACCAATTCTCCAGAACATGCAATCCTATTGTTTATCAGGACTCAGGATACATTGCAACGCAGGTGCACCTGCTACAGGAGATGTTTCCAGGGGCATGCAGCATTGAAGTGCAACACTGTCTGACGATTGCAGAGGGAGATGTGGCCCGTGCAGCCCAGCTAGTGTTGCACAGGCAGGAGGCAGGCCAGAGTCTGTCCTCAAACGCCACAGTTCTACAGGTGAGCATTAGCTACATGGGCCTTGCATACAGAGGAGATGGCTGATACATCACCTGAAGCTCACAGACTTCTTGTGTGTGACGCCATATAGTCTGGCAGATCCTTACCAACACTTCAGAGGACTTGCTGCTTTCATCATCAAGGTAGACAAGTAGTCCTCTGTCCTGAAGTTGGAGGTAGCATTTTCCTTAAAAGCAATGGTAATGATCTGCCAGAGTCCATGGTGTCATGCCCCAGTACCCAGTCTTGATGTACAGAATGGGTGACCTCAGTGGTCAGTTCAGCTCGCAAGAGCTTAGTCTGTCATAAGCTCAGAAATTCAATATATGATAAGGCATTCATATTTTGTGTTGATTATCTTCAGAAGTTTTTAACCATTAATCTTGACCTTAGATCTCCAGTCTCATAAGCAAGACTTTAGACACAACACAAGAGTTTATAATTAATAATATTTGCATTTATATACGTTTTATTGAATTACATGTTTCAGCCTGATCAGCTATCCTGAGGGAGTAATATGCTTGTTTTTCATTTAAGTGTTTTCCTCTACCATCCATTTGCCAATGTTTACATTAACCCGTTGCCGTGGTTCGTCGTGTATGTTTCGTCAGGGATTTAAATCGTCTGGGGGGGTTCGACGTGTATGTTTCGTTCAGCTGCACACCTATGTTATAACGCCCATAATAATTGATGGTTTTGCTGTAGATTGTTAGATTTTTCGCTGGCCTGTTGTCAGTAGAACAGAGTATAAATAAGACACGACTTTATCTGTGCCAAGTCATCGTTACATATGCCTGTCTTGCAGCAAAGTTCCTGTGGTTCTGGCGAGCGGTTTCTAGCTGTACTGTTATGAAAGCGTGTTTTCTTTGCTTTGAAGATATAAACAGAAGAGACGTGATGTTTACTGTTGTATATGATATCATATTACCCTGAGCTGGCCACATTGACACACTCAACTGAAATTCTTAGAATAGGGTTGTCCAGAAATTTATTCTCGCATTATCCATTGATTTCGCACAGTACAAAGGCCCAGTTCTGAGAAAAACGCCACAATTTAAGGCAGAACACTGTGGTCACCCCCTGAGACGATACGGATGTGTGTGGGGGAGGGAAAAGTACTCATTATCGCTCCAGTTGACGCCATTTTATCGTACTGACCTTGGTGGTCGTTTCGAGGGATGACCATAACTATTTTTTTTGAGCCAGCTAAGCTCTGCTTTCTTCCTCTATATACCAGCCAGTTCTTATAATAAATTCATGAATTCTGTGGTCACCCCTACGACATCTGGGGAGCCGAAAAGGTTGGAATCTGAAACGCAGAAGCACCAAACCCTTCTTATGATAACACAAAGGTTGAATTTACTGCAGCTAATCTGTCAAAATATACGACTCACGGAGGGACATTTCCACTTGTATTCCCCCCACGGGGAAGAAGGCAGGGCCGCACAGAAGTGTGGTTAGAAAAAAAAAAGCAAAAGTAAAGATACGCAGTATTGGTTTGGTGAATGTGAGCCAGCGCTGTGTTTAGACTAATGCTTCAAGGCGTCACCTGCTTACATAGCCGAGATACCGGGTGCTCATATTATAAGGCAAGGTTATAAAACCATCTTTTAAGATCATTTTAGTGAAAGTTTCATCCTTCAAAGCGTACCATTCACTGCTCAAATACTAAACAACCTGCTTCCATTGAAGATATAAAGGGGGTTCATATTATAAGGTAAGGTTATAAAACCACCTTTTAAGATCATTTTAGTGAAAGTTTCATGTTCCTATCTCATAGAATTTAAGAACAATGATGAATAAATAATTTTCGAGCAAAATTTAAATGGCCGGCTGAATATATTACCGCAGGAGCCGCGGCCGCGGAATTTAAATGACCACGTCAAAGGGTTAAATTCCAAAATTTTTACTTGTGTGGTTTGGTGAGGAGTTTTTAAACTTTGTCAATGGTTAAAATATTGTGGCATGTAGACCTCTTGCTAGGCAACAACTGTGAGATAAGCAAAAATAACAACAGACATTACTGAGTAACAGCTTTGCGAACAGTCATGTTTGCATGGCAACAATTGGACACAGCAACAGAGGAACGGTGTTTTCTCTGCGGTCCGTGCCGAGACATTGTAAGCAGGACAGATGGAGCAATGAGTTGTGGAACATTTGCCATTTGGTAAGAATGTGAGCATGGAAGCAGAGGATACTGTTGAGATCCAGAACCAGGCAACAACTGGTGAAGACACAGCAGACTGAGAAGAATTAGTGTGTGCTGTAGTGAACTGCAAAGAGCTTGAATTAGCAATAATGCTATAGTTACTTGTAGTTACATTATGTAAGTGTTCAGTAGATCCTATTACCAATCTAAAACCCCATCTATAGTCACTCATACATGTGACAATAAAAGTTGAAATTAAAATTAGAATTAAAAGGACATGCATTGTTCATTTACACTGTCAAGGTTGTTTGGTTGTGAGTTATTGTTGGATATCTCATAAATGTATTTGTTCCTTATTTTTGTGCTGCTTTTGAAGCAGGGCTTTGTTGTGGAGACATGGACATATACAATGATAGGTCCATATTTGGTGCAAAATATAACCATTATGCAAATAGAGAGCACCACCTGTACCTTATACACAGGAAGCCAGTAACAACCTCACTCACACACAGACCTCACCAACAGTGTTTTTATTCAATAAGGTAAAAGACTACAACCATACAGTGCCCAAGTACAAACTACACATACAAAACCAAAGTTTAAAACATTGATATAGCAACTAATGTCACTGGCAAACAGAAATATGCCAATTACACAACAGACAAAAGGAAACCTAGAAGGAATCACAACTAATTACAAAAAGAGCCGCAAGTCTGTAGCTTATCACTGACAAACACAAAACATTAAGAAAATAGCAAAAATTCATACAGACAATAGGTAATAAAAGAATATAATGCATCAGCATCCAACTTACAGCTTCTAATCCCAGTTATAAACAGCTCTCCAGAGTACCACCCTAGTCAACACAGAATAATGGCCTGTCAAACAGCACAAAGGAAACAAATTCACATGCGGCATATTTAATGTGACATCTTATAATATTGGAAATATAAACAAATGACGCATGACTTTATGGTATCAATTTTAATGCTATCTTATAATATTTTAACCATTGACAGTTTTCAGAACTCCTCATAAAATCACAATTATCAATTTTAGAATTAAATAGTAAATTTTGGCCAGTGGGTACAAAAAATATGTTACATAGAAAACAGATGGCCAATTAGACTGAAGCATGTAGTTGAATAAAAGAAGTATATAATTGTAAATATTATGGATTATGTACCATGTTGTATCATTGGAAGTATCACATATAATTCTTCTGTCTGTCTTGTCATGGGGTACGAATTGCTCATTGTTTACTGTATTAGCACAGTTCTCATTCACAAGTAACAGATGTACACAGTGTTAACACAAGACACTAGCACTATCTTCATAAATCAACTGTTAACCTCTCATACTTTCAGAAAACAACGTATTATACTGGGATCAGAATTTTCAGTAATCTTCCATCTGATCTTGAAAGTCTTGTGAATGAATTATTAAAATAGCACTGAAATGGTACTTAAACACACTCGTTTTTCTCTATCAATGAATATTTGTTGTCTAAAAAATTACTTATCCATTTAAAGGCTGTGTAAATAGCGTAAGTAGACAGTATTGATGTTTTAAGTGGATGTATTGTATGGGGGTATGTGTGACAAAAATAATGGGTTCTAGTTCAGATGACTGGATTTATTAGCACTTCAGTTACAACTTCTCTTTATCACACTTATTACAGCATTATCACTTGTTTACACAATTTACAATGAAAAACAAACTTTAGTCTGCAAGCGAACTATACCAACCGAATGACTGCAGCTTGTCAGAGAAGTTAGTGCCAACTTTAGCAGATACAGGGTGTCACGTGGTCAGCACAACAACAAATCTCCATGGCTGTTAATTTTGGGTTTTTTGACCGACAGTTTACAGTCACTCCAAACTAATCTTCTCAGTCTGTCTCCACTAGCCTTCATGGATTTATAAGACAGGAACTACAAGAGTCTCTCTAAGTCACACACTCCCAATTTCACTGCACTATAGCACACATAAAGTCTTCAAATCACATTAAATCTTCACAGACTGACTTCCTGTACTCTTGTGTACTCCTCAAGCTTACTGCTTGCTTGCTTGTTCATGTGCTTCTGCAGCTACTGCTACTCGTAACTGCTGTGAACCCTCCTGGTCTCTTACTTATATAGCCACAGAACAGACATGCATCACAGGAAACACGTCATGTGGTCACTACCTACTGTTGTGTGACATCACTGTGAACACAGAAAAAACAGCTTTCTCCATTGTTGTATGTTGGACCATGTTTACAGAGCTGCTGCCTGGCAATGCATTGATCAAATCTGTTGCAGTATTTTTGAATAGCCTTATGTGTAGCCACCATGTTTTCTTGGGTTTTTGTATGGGAAAACTTCAGTTGTACTGTATGTATATTTTTGTATCCTACAGTTATTCTAACTTTGGATCAAGGGAAAACAGTGTAATGTGACATAATGTAACATTCTTGAGACTGGAAGTCTTTGTTGCTGAACATTCTCTGCCAACAGAAAAAAAAAACTCCTAGCAGTTTGTGGAACTCAAAGTTTTGTTACCATGTTCACAAGAGCCTTCCACTGGTTCCTGTTCTAAGCCAGATAAATATAGTTCACATCTTCCTATTCTGTTTCTTTAGTATCCATTTTAATATTATCTTGCCAACTGCATGTAGGTGTTCCAATGGTTTTGACCAAAACCTCGTATACTTTTCTTTTCTCTGTGTGCTGCATTCCATACCATCTCTGTCTCCATGATTTGATGATTCTAAAAATGGTAAAGAGTACAATTTATGAAGCTCCTCTCACATCTTGCCTCATAGGTCCAAATATTGTCCTCAGCACCCTGTTCTCAAAGACCCTCAGTATCTGTTCTTCATTTAATGTGAGAGTCCTAGTTTTACACCCATACAAAACAAGAGGCAGCGTTATAGTTTTGTATATTATATATCTTGTACTCTTTAGGATACAAGATAGGAAGGTAAGATTCTGAACTCAGTGGCAGCTAGAATTCCACTGCTGCTAATTTCTTTATGAATACAATTTTGATTTTTTTAGTGATGTTCCCAAATAATTTAAGTCTGCCACACTTTAATGGGTGGCCACGCGGCAGCATAGTGGTTGAGGTGCTACACTACAAGCCAGAAGGTCACAGATTCAAATCCCGATGGGGTCATTGGATTTTTGTTCAGTTGACGTGATCCTTCCAGCCGCACTAGGCCTTGGAGTTTACTCAGACTCTAACAGAAATGAGTACCAGGAATTAATTAAATAATTTTCCTGGGGAGTAAAGTGCAGCCAGTTCATAAGGCTGACAACCTTACCGCCATCTTTGAGCCGATTGTCTAGATCAGG